AGGTTGGGGATCTCTGCCTTAAATAAAGCAGCTCCATGCTGCAGAGGGTTTTATAATGACAAGCCCCGTGAACTGCACCTGGAAGAAACTGGGTGCCACTGCAGCTTGTGAAATAAAGGCATAATATCATTGTATAAAGGCACACCCATAATTGCTTGTGCCACTGCATTCCGGATCAACTGCAGCTTCTAGATGTTCTTCAAGGGCAATTCCATGTAGACCATAATGCCCTACTCCACTTGGGAGATAACCAAAGCAAAGAGTGCTACTGATATATAACACAGAGTTTTACAAAAGCCTTCCTGGTCATAGTTGCCACTTGTTCTTTGAACAGAAGCTGCAAGTCCAGAAGGATTCCCCAAATGTGCACTGATTCTATTCAGGAGAATGTAACCCCATCCAGAATTAATGATGGGAAATGGGATCTAAGAGGGGGAAAATCCAGACGCACATAGTCTTACTCAAGTTTTGTTGAAGCCTTGAATGTAAATAACTTATTAGGGGGAAAAATGATTGTATTCACATACAGAATCAAACCCTTCTTTTCCAAAATCTGGATTTTGGGACCACAATATGCATAGATGTAATACCCTTAGCTCCTTCTCTCTCCTTCATTCCCAGATTTTAATAAGAAAACAACAATTACTGCTTTCTCTTGTGCTGGAATCTGCTCCTAAATATGCCAGGATTCAACAATCAGATTTAAACTATTTTTGAAGTTGGCTTATATAAACTGACTTGATAGGAACTAATCAAAGATATACTGAGAAATTATGATTAACTGTGAATTCCTATTTGACTTCCCACTTGCACAAAAGGAAAAATGAAGTGGGGAGAAAAAAGAGACTATACAGTTACATACTCTTAACAAATAATCTGCTTTATTTAAGCAATTGTATTAGTCAGAAGCGTGATTGATTAGCAGCCACAGTAATAAATGAAATACATATATACATATATATTTTAGAAAGTAAATTCAGTTGATGAACATGCCCCATACTACCCATCAAGCAGTAAGCTAATTCATAGCTGATCTATAGAAGAGGATGCAAAATTCACAGTTCCGAAAAGTTAATAGCTGTAATAATCACAGGATTATATGAGCATTTTAAACAGAATTACTTATGCTGCGATATTATTTATTTAATTCCAATTAGGCATCACCCAACTCACAACTAATATCATAAAATCCAATACAAACCAAAAACAAGATGACATCTGCATACAACATACATACAAAAAGAGTAGACATGTTCAACAAGGGGCACCACCCTCTCACATGCTTACCCAAGAATGCAATAAGAATTTTATTATTCTAAATACAGAGCTCATATTACACATAGAAAGTCATTCACATTAATGAACATGGATTCTCTCACTATCTTTATGTAAGAATCACTCATCTGTGTAAATATCTGTTTATCAATTTGTACCCCAAATGTGGTATGCATCAAAGGAGGGAGCTATTCAAGTTGGACCATCCAGTTCACATAATCTCGATGAACATTCTTCCCTTCTCAAGTACTCATTATATTGCAACATCCCACCCTACCATGTCAATTGGCATTCATTTCCTTGACCGACCAAAGCATATATTATTTGTTATTTCTGCTGTCATTTTTCCCAGGGAGAGGAAAGTTCACGGCAAAGAAGCCAATCTAGATACCCACTTAAATATTTTGACATGTCTGTGTGTGCGCATGTGTGGATGTGTACATGGAAATAAGGCTAAGTGACTCAACTATACATGAAAACATGGAAACTGGGGTGCAGAAAAATGGCAGCAGGTACTCTGGACTGATGACTCTAAATTTGAAATATCTGGCTATAGGAGGCAGCAGTGTCTTCGCTGAAGGGCTGGAGAGCGGTGCAATAATGAGTGTCTGCAGGCAACAGTGAAACATGGTGGAGTGGAGTTTCCTTGCAAGCTTGGGGCTGCGTTTCTGTAAATGGAGTTGGAGATTTGGTCAGGATCAAAGTTGTCTTCAACGCTGAGAAATCCAGGCAGATACTTATCCATCATGCCATACCATCAGGGAGACGTGTGATTGGCCTCAAATTTATTCTGCAGCAGGACAATGGCCCCAAACATATAGCCAATGTCATTGAAAACTATCTTCAGTGTAAAGAAGAACAGGAAGTCCTGAAGTGATGGTTTGGCCCCTCAAGAGCCCTGATCTCAACACTGTCGAGTCTGTTTGGAATTACACGAAGAGACAGAAGGATTTGAGGCAGCCTACATCCACAGAAGATATGTGGTTAATTCTCCAAGATGTTTGGAACAACCGTGAAGAAATCTTGAATGGCACACCAGCATTTTGTTTAAGTAAGGCAACTCTCATTTTCTCAATACCCCAATATACATTTTCTCAATATTTGTCATGTAACAATGCTACTTCATTACTTTATCAGACTTTTTCTCATGAAAGTTAAAGTTGCGCCCTTTTTGGTATTTATGCTAAATATGGTTATAATCTGTAATTAATAACATGACACCAGACAATTTTAATACAAAAAGTGTATTAGTATACATTTGTACGTTAGTTGTACAACTACAACTCAGTATATTTTAATCAGGCTAAAGAAGATAGGCTTTGAGCCACAAAATATGGTTTTTCATGAACACTGTGAATTTAAAATATATCTAAAACTTTCTTTACTCCATCTTCTTTACTATAGTTTGAGCACCACAGGCTTCATAACATCAGTTGTCAACTTCAGGGTCCTTTCCAGATTTTTAATTAACATATCTCCTTTGTAATTCTACAAATTAACTCATTTTCAGAGGTCAAAAACAATTGTTAGCTAGGTTAACTCACTGAAATGGTGTGATCATTCTAAATTTCCATTTCCAGAAGTAGCAAGCACACAGTGATGACCTATTTCACAGACAAAATACACCTTAATCTCTTCTAAACCATGAGTACAGTAGAACCCAAAGAAGTATAGCAAGTTACCTAAGAACCATAATGGACCTTTCCATTATTTGCTACTTTAAGATAAGCTGCAATCAATAAAACACTGTCATCACCAACTTCACTTCAAGCTTCAATCATTCACACCAAAGTCAAAAGATTCTTCAGTCATACATCAAAATGCATATGAAAGGCAAGATGGTTCATTTGACTTAATCTGATCAAATTTCATGTACTAAATCTTAAGGCTGGTACAAATTTAGCAATATAATTCTTATAATTTATTTTATAAATTTATACACCACTCATCTCTGAGTGACTCTGGATGGTTTACAAATGAAAGCTATAAAACTATATAAAAAGATAGCATTAGAAACAGAATTAAAAACACAATTAAAAGTGATTTAAAAAAAAAAAAAGGTGGCAGGAACATTCTCAAGCCACCAACCACCCCCAGGATTGCCTACCACTTGTAGATCCCCATGCCAGTATAATAAAGAATTGCACATAATTTGTATAATAAAGCAAGATTTGTAAGGTCCTTCATACTTCATCCAAGATTTTTTTCCTGCTCTGATCTTTAACCTGGCTGGTGTTTCATGTGCGTTATTTATTTCTGTTTTTATGATTTTATACTATTCTTTTAATATATTTAGAATCCCAGAATCATGAACTTGAATGGGTGGCCATAAATTGAAATAATAAAGTATCCATTTTAGATAGCTTCAATATCCTGGCTATAATTAATTACATGCCAAAAAAAAAATTCAGATTAGAAAACAGCAAAAAAAAAAAAAAAAGGCCTAAGATATAATTCTTTAGAGAAAGCTAGACACTTAATTCAGTACACTTATACCAAATACAGACTGATTCTTCATACTTGTGGGGCTTTCCATTTAATCATAATCATGATGTAAGTTGCATGTTGCCGGCCTGCTTCAGGACTGCAAAATGTTGAAAACAGACATTGTTTAAAACAGGACGCCAGTTTTAATATGACATTCGTGCTATTTCCAAGAGATATCTTGCTTTTGTTAAATCTGTTTCCCAATTTCAAATTTTAATTGAAAACTTGGGCATAACACTATGAAATGACATCAAGTTGGTTTTAAATGCACTTTTTGATTCACAAACGTGTGCCCGCCTATAAATCAAATCAAAGTCTGATCGGTGCAATTAGTGAAAATGAAATACGGGCTATTTCAATTCGGAAAGGTGACAGCACCCGTCTTCTTTTTCCCGCCGCTAAATTTAACCTTAAACAGCAAAGTTTGCGTCCATATAAGGAAGAAGGACACCCTCGTCTCCTGGCACTTAGAATCCTTCTGCCGTCAGTTTCAGAAAGGACCGGTTTGAAATGCTGTCGCTATCGTGAGCAAGCGGACTCTGGCTCCAGCCCACAAGGCATGGTAGAAGGCCGGCAAAGGGGCCGGGGCACTGGCGAGCTTCCCCAGATGAGGACGGAGCCGCCACGTGCCAGAAGACAATGCTGGAGGGAGCGGGAAAGGGCCTGACATTTAGGCTCGATCGCGGGAGAGGCCTTCTTCCCTTCCGCCCAACCCGCACTTCGCCACACGGCCTGGCTTCCCTCGCCCGTCCGCGCTCTTGCCGCCGCCGCCGCCTCCTTTCCTCTTCCTGCCCACGTTTCACTCTGGGAAAGGCGACTCCGTGAGGCCCGCGCCTGGGCCTCTCTCCTCGCCTCCAGGTGCATGTGCACGTGCGTATATAGCAAGGCGACCGGCGACAACCTGGCCCGAGTTTCGGTCTGGAGCCCGGCTCCTTCTTCTCTGGACCGGAGGTGACCTCCCAGGTGCCACTGAGGGATCTCTCGCCTGCTCGGAGCTCATTCCCCTTCGCGGACCGACTTCTCCTACCAGCTCCCCGTCCCCGTCCCCAACTCTAGACCAGGGAGACATTCGGGGTCCGCACGCCCGATTTCTCACCCCCGCCTGCGCCTGGACCCAATTCGTGGCCACGAACGGTGCCCCCGACTGGCATCTCACCCCCCCCCGCTCCCGCCGGCCTTGTCGCCGGGACTGCTTCTCCTGTACGCCGCGCTCCCAGGCCGCGCCGCCGCCTTCTCACCTCGTTCAGCTGCCTCTCGGCAGTCTCCCGCACCGTGGAGTCCATGGTGCCCCGCAGGGCCTCGATGATGGTGTTGGGGTCCATGACCGTGCGCTCGAGGCCGAGGCGGACGAGATCTGGGGCAGTAGCACCGTTCGATGCGCACATGGACCCGCCGCTCTACAGCGGCAGCCGGCGGCGCGAAAGGAGGAGAGAAGCGCCAAGGCCCCGGATAGAGCTCCTCGCCGCCTCTGCGAGGCCGACGCCTTCCGCTCGGCGCTTGCCGCCTTTGACAGGCATCACGGGAATTGTAGTCCTTCTGGAGGAGGGCGGGAGAGGACGAAAGCGGCCTCAAATGCCATCTTTTTTCTTTTAGAGCCCTCTGCTCTGCAAGATAGGACGGAGGTGGGCTCGGGAGAGAGAGGGAGAGAAGGTTCCGTCGCCACCGATTACAAATTGGCTACAGTATTCAGACGGGAAAAAATTAAGGAAATCGGAACACCATCCACCTGTCTGGACCAATGGTATTCTCACTGATCGCATATGAAGTACAATTTCCTTTTACTTTTTTCTCACAAGGTTGTGGGGCGAAATGTCTAGGAGGGAAGAGTCGAGAGACGAACATGTCAACCACCCACCCACCCCGCCATTGTTTCCTATTATGTAAGTTTAAATGAAGTAGAGGAAATGAAGTCTGACTTTAAGTGGAATGTCTACCAATAGAATAAAAGCGCAAAGAAAAATGCTGATAAGAACTGTCTCCTCATATGAAATGCAATAATTGATCTGTTCATTTTTGAACTCGCGGTTGGCTGAATGACAATAGTCCTTAATAATTCCATTTCACCTTAAAGAGAAAAATCCACTTGGAAGTTTCTTCTTAGGTTGCTTCTCTCTTTGATTAGTTTCCATCCATTGCTTCTTGTCCTGTCTTCAGGTGCTTTAGAGAATAGCTTGACTACCTCTTCTTTTTGGCAACCCCTGAGATATTGGTACACTGCTATTGTTATGTTACCCCTGGTCCTTTTCATTAAACTAGACATACCCAATTCCAGCTATCATTCTTTATATGTTTTAGCTCCAGTCCTCTGATCATCTTTGTTGCTCTTCTCTACACTCTTTCTAAAGTCTCGACATCTTTTTTACATCGTGGTGACCAAAACTGGATGCAGTATTCCAAGTGTGGCCTTACCAAGGCATTGTAAATTGATATTAATACTTCACGTGATCTTAATTCTATCCCTCTGTTAATGCAGCCTAGCACTGTGTTGGCTTTTTTGGCAGCCTGCCGCACACTGCTGGCTCATATTTAAGGGATTGTTCACTAGGACTCTGAGACCCCTCTCACAGTTAGTATTATTGAGCAAGATAGCACCTATGCTGTACCTGTGCGTTTGGTTTTTCTTGCCTAAATGTAAAATCTTACTTTTTTCACCATTGAATTTCATTTTGTTCGATAGCGTCCACTGTTCAAATCTGTTAAGATCCTTCTGTAGATCTATAGAAGAAAAATGTCAGTTCCTTGTCTTTCTCTGCACTCCTCTATATCATATATAAGATATAAATGTAATGTGGATATATTTAGTTATTGTACTGTAATATTTAATATATCCTTTTGTTCTTACCACAATTGTTACTGTTAAAAACGTAACACCATATAACTTTTGACATAATGATACCTCATGCGTTACCAATTTATGCAGTTTCATTTCTTTGTTTATCACAGTTTTGTACACCCAATGAAGCCTATAAATGTAGAACTTCAGCTTCATAATTCCCAGGATTTTGGAACTGCTTTTTGGAAGATTATAGGAGCTGAATTCCCAACAAAACTGGGGACTTCAAATTGATAATGATTAAGATTAGAGTCAGCTTGCCATAAATAAATTGTATAATATGTTGTATAAAATATCCAAAAATTATATAGCTGTTAGGATTTAAATGTTACTTTAAATAATTATATATAGATTCTGTTGTTATGCAGAATGTATACCAATTTTTAATATCTCTTAATTCTAAGTGCACTCTTAATATAAATTCTAAATGTCTCTTATTCTAACATGCACTTGGTTTAACTAAAAAGTATGCAAAACAACATTTTCATTTGCTGTTCTTCCTTTATATTAGAAATATTTTAGACATTTTAAATATTCAAATAGTTACATAATGTATTAAAGAAACTGACTGATAGCTTGGGCTTTAGTTCCTCTATTTCTATACTATTATTTTGATCATCTAAACCTCATTTACATCATTAGAAAATGTTATAGTTAGAAGTAAACTATCAGCTGAAAAAAATTAGCTTCCAGCACTTGATATTATTTTACATGTTTCTCCTGCCTTTCCTATGGGAAGCTTTCATGGATTTCTCTTCATTGTAACCCCAAATCAAAACTCTATGGGGTTTGCCATTGCTCTATGTATAGACAGCTGAAAGAAAGATTTAAATTAGACAAAAAGCATTACAGGCTTGACTTTGTTAAAAATTAATTGGAAATCCTCCCTTTGTGGTAGTGATGAACATATTATTGCTAAAGTTTATAAAACATTATTGAACTTGAATTTGGAAAGCGAATATGTAAAACATTGTATGAGTCAGTGGACAAGGAACTTTGGATATAATGTAAAGCTTGAACAATGGGAGAATATGTGGATAAAAGGTTTAAAATTTACACTAAATTACAATTTTAAAAAAAGTTTTTATAAGATATATATCGTTGGTATTTAACACTAGATAAGTTATCAAGAATGTATAAAGGTGCTTCAAATGAATGTTGGAAATGCAAATATAAAGGTACTTTTTATCATTTGTGGTGGACATGCAACAAAGCAAAGGAATATTGGAGTAGGATTCATATTCTAATATAGAAGAATCTTAAAATGAATATAAGGATAAAACCAGAAACTTTTGTTTTGGGTTTAATGGAAAAAGACTTGGAAAAAAATTGGAACTTTGATGTTATATATGTTGATGGCTGCAAGATTACTTTATGCACAAAAATGGAAGGACACTTCGATCCCCACAATGGACGAATGGCTGCAAAAGTTGATGGAGTGATCAGAGATGCTTTGATAAAAGAAAAAAACATAACTACTTTTGTTTCTACTTGGAAACTGCTTCTGGACTTTGAGGTGGAAAAAATGAAACTTTGATTTTGGGGTTTACTGATTAGATATAGAAATGGCTAGTTTATACTATTATATAAAAGTAAAAAGTTGAGGTTTGATGTTATCTTATTTTACTGCAAAGGGAGTTGGAAGTCAACATCTTTTCTTTCTTTTTCCCTTCTTTTCTACACTCTTCCTTCCCTCTTCCCTCCTGTTTTTCCTATTATTTATTTATGCATTTTATACTATAAACTAATAAGAAGATAACACACCAGGCTCGATAAAGTTGGCTGAGTTCAAACTTGGTCTAGCCCAAACCTTAGCTGTTATAATGTACTACACTACATTATGTTGGATTCTTCTTCATCAATAGATACCACTCTTTTTCTCATGCATGTATGCAAAATTCATCAGTGTAGTATGTATATAAGAAAGTATTGGTTCCTGCTTTTCTTCAACTTATGAAGTCTGTTAGTCACTAAGTGCTTATTTACATATTCCCAATGGTATTCTCCTTTTCTACTAACATCAAGGAAAGAGGGCAAGAAAAAATAAAGAAATGAAGGTTTATTATCTACTTTTTTCTGTGCATCAATATTCATGCTGACATAACAATTTTAAAAACCTAAGACACCTTATTTGGTAATAATTGCTAATACTGATTATGTGAGAGCCAGTAGGAGAGTCTCCCAATTTTTTCCTTTTTTCAAATAATCTTTATTTTATATTTTTTGTGTGCAACAGATTGCTGAAAAATCAGACAATTCAAAGGATAGTTTTGACTTACCGTATTTTCCGGCGTATAAGATGACCCCCAACTTTTCCAGTTAAAATATAGAGTTTTTGAGCGAGAGAGAGGGGGGGGGGAGAGAAAACTTGATGAGTAATATGCCAAACCACATGTGTAAAGGAATAAAATAGAATACCAGTATTTTCCGGCGTATAAGACGACTGGGCGTATAAGATGACCCCCGACTTTTGAGAAGATTTTCAGGGTTTAGAAAGTCGTCTTATACGCCGGAAAATACGGTATTTTGTTTGAGAAAGACTCTTAACTCTGCTTTGAATTCGTAATGTTGCAGTTAACTTGCAGATCTATCCAAGTCCTAACCAATTGGCACTTCTCGTATTCCAAGCAACTACGGTAGAAGACAAAACAGATTCATGTATGTCCAACAGAAGGTTCCTGTAAACACCTTACAGAAATTAAACTATGGTAGACCTGGTCAATTCCAGAATTAGAATCTCTCTGGGAACAGTATCTTGAGTTCTGTAATCAAAGTAAGTTAAAATATAAATGCACAAAATACAATAAAGATCGATGTGCTAAAGAATTGCTTAAAGTGAATAAAAGTAAGTGCATTGCCAAAATTGGAAGCGACGGTGGAGGAAGTACATGGACTAAGCCTATAACTCCTTTAGCAACATCACGTATACTTACTGTCCTCATAAAAAATAAACTCTCCTTTTAGGACTCAACACCTGGTGACTTCACAGATACATTCATGCAGGTTTCTTGTTGACAATGTAAACATAGTTTGACAGTGACTCATGGCATATTTTGCAGTTCCCAGGCAAGGTTGGAAGTCTCTTATCCAAGTCCTAACCAAGCCTTAGTTAATTGAGTTTCTGAGCCCAGAAAGCCACAAATCTTAAACAATAAGCTTTCTCACTTGAATCAGAAGTGAAGGTTAGTAGCAACTGTTTGATCAATAACTAAATCTAACTTTATTCCTGGAAGTTTTCATTATTATGGGGAGTCTTGCACTGAGCGGGAACAAGTTTCTTAGCTCTTTGTTTCTCTGATGAATGTAGAAAGCAGCATTCCCCATATCCTTCTATCCTTTTCCAAAGTTTTAAATGTGCTTTGCATTCTCCAGAATAGCCTCCCCCAATCTGTTTTCTGTTACAGACATTGGATTATGGAGGCTCTAGTCTGTAACCAGAAGCACCAAATTGGAGAAGAGTAATTTACAGCATGCAGAAGTTGACAGTTGATGTTGCTTTTTCAGTATTGAAAGTCAGTGGCCTTTTATTAGATTGCACAACTCCCACAAATATTGCATCAGTCATTATGTCATATACAGGATATACTGTATATC